GTAGCTAAAGGCTTGCCCAGCCACCCCTACTTACACAGCCTGACTCTAGGCTCTATAGCTTGACATAGACGACTGGCTCCCTTTTGCCGAAACTGGGACGAAACGGTTTCACAAAGGGCGAAAATAGTTGTCTTGTGGCACTTCGCCTTCGCGCTCCTGCGGCTCGGCCTCGCTGCATTCGTGACTAGCTCTGTCCGAGCTTCTGACTGTTTACGCTCTCGGCAGCCATGATCGAGATCAGGATCCCTTTAGTTCCTCAGCACAACCTAAACAATCTCAAGCTAGCATCGAGCCTCTCCCATCACGCCACCAGACTTGATAGACTTCAACCCTGCCGGAAGTAGCCCGCGGGCCTCGATCTAGGTTAGACAACCATGGTTTTCTCTTCTCAGGCAGCGACTCTGTGCTCATCTCAATATTAACCCGCCATATCTTAGCTCTCCGTGAGGCTCAGAATCCTCCTAGCTTTGATGGCTGCATAACTGCTAGTGCCGTTATGTTGGCATAAGATCATCTCATCTCAGCAAATGCCGGCATAATGCCGCACGTGGCTCTAGAAGCCATGTATGAATGGGTCAACCACAGGCAATAGACTATGACTAGAAAGTCTTTTTTGTTTCATAGTATCAACAGGTACTGGCAGCACACAAGAACTCGCTCATTCCGAGCATGTTCCTAGGTAATAGATATCCATCGCAGCCCCCCTCAGCCGTACCAAACTTGGCAACGCTATTCAGATACTATTACTAGGCCTTCAGCTAGGTAGTAGTTCTATATCAAGTTTCCACATTACCATTCCACTGGGAATTGGGCTTTTGGCGCCGGTAACCGCCAGTCGCCCTCGGGCCAGCGGCCATGGCGGCAGATAGGCAACAAGCCAGCCAATGGAACATGGCCTCTGTTGCCTTCTTCGAAGCTTGTGTTGGCCCAGTGGCGAGTTTATCCCCATTCCCCGATTCCTTGCCATTGAGTGTTCCAACTGAACTCAGCCCGGAGCTTATTGCAAAGGCCACCGTTATTTCGGGCGTGGACCAACAGCCTGTGCTAGTAGACACAGCAGTTGCTTCATAAGGACGTGCTGCAGGATAAGCGGAAACGGGACGAGGTTGCTCACATTGAGAAGCGGCAGGCTACTCTCCCCGCATTCGCCACACCCTCAGGTTGAATAGACTTTTTCCTTCATCCTCAACTTCATTGTCTTGGAGCCCTCTAAAGCTTGAATGAACAGGAAGCAGAAAGTAAGCCAAGCAAGCCACGTACCTTACCGGATTTGAGCGAGTGCTTAAGCAAAGACCCGAACCTACCTTACAATACCGCAATCCACCGTTCAATGGCTGGGTTTCAGTTAAATTAAAGCAGCCATTCCTTCCTTTCTCATTTGTCACTTGAATACAGTTCCATACTAGCACGCTCAGAGAAATGGCCTGATTATCCACGATCCGATTGGATCAGCCTCCAGACGGGATGTGCCCAGAGCAGGCATTGTTGCAGCCAACGTATATCGGATTCGTCGAAAGAATTTTCATTTACCCTGGGCCGCTGCCCCGAATAGGACAAAGTCCATTTCTTCTCTGCCCTTGGACTACCTACTTGGGTATATGGGCCACCAACCTCAGCTCCGGTCCGCAAAGCCAAGACAAACAGCGGGTGCGCTGGGTTCGCTATTATGACGCTGTTGGCCGCTACACATCAGGCTTGACGGCACACAGCATAGAAAGGCGTGTTTTGTTTCGTCTTACTAGTGTCACCACAGATCTTTCCTGCATGATTGGCAAATGCAAACGGGATTTTTTTTGCAGCGTTTTGATACTACGCCAATATCATGACTGCATATATACCCAGCTATGTGGACCCACCCCGAAGTCTTTAGCTTCTGTGACTTCTGCAACTTGGAAAGCTTCAGCACGAAAGCATTGCTTCTTACAAGCTGGTCTATTTGCATTGCCGGGCCGAACGGAACGGCAACTTAGTAGCCAACAAGCAGGCGGAGCAGTAACCTCAACCAGGGTTTTTCAGCTGTCTGTTACCCCTGGCCCTTACACCCTCAGCTGCAGATAACCGAGATACAATCGTTGCATCGCCGTAACTGTCTTGGGCCTCGCTGAAGAACTTTGGATTTTCTACAGGTACCATTGGACACCCTACGGAAGTCAATTGATGACCAACATGTTCATGACTTGTGGCAGAGCAGTGGATAAGAAACGGAGTCACCGTCAACTAGGTATTCAGTGATAGCTAACCACAACAGCTCTCGCATCTAATCCAACGACAAAATCCTCTTGTGTTGCATAACAATCTTGTTGGCTAGACGGATAGAAACCTGCAGCCACACGCGAAGACCCACACAACGCTAGAGCAGGAAGCGTTGCTAATGGATAATGCTAATAAATACAGCCCAACAGTATTTATTCTTTATTTCCCTCATGGCTAGAGGATGGTAGGGTGCAGCCACAGAGGATCCGTCATCCATAGTTCCTCTCAGTGGAGTAGGTGCCGCCGGGAAAATCTCCCATGTTACGCGTTTTGAGTCGAGGGGATTCGAATCATGGCGCATCGTTGACTCAAACGCCCATGCTGTGGCTGCGAATAACTACTTCATGCAAGCCCTACTCCGTATGCTACGCCAGATACATGTTAGACGCCGGTAGCATTTTCAGGCGCTCTCGCACAGTGGCGTCCAACCACAAATCCGACCCCGAGCAGAAGACAGACTCGGTTCCTGATATTCAGCGGCATATGGGACAAGGTTTTTGCCTACTGTCTCAGCTTTTCTGATCTACGCCCAAAATACCTATCCGGCTGAGTCGGTTTATCCGTTATGGATCTGAGAATACACATGTTAGAATCACGCCCCCTGCCAACCCAGCACCCGTATATTATGACAAACTCTCTTTCAGTTGGCGCAGCAGTATATCGGTCGTCTACCTTTCAAAAGGAAGAGTATACAAAGCAAGTATATTCGCTGGCTATCCCATAATATGATGTAGCCGAGCTGCCGCTATCCTTGTTCTCTGTTGTGGGAGACGACAAATTGCAAGCTATCGTTGCTAATTTCTCCACCACACATAACCGCAGCTCGATAGCCGCTACTGTGCTGCATAGGGCGATGGCTTGCTTCATGGCACATGCAAGTGCGATTTCCGCCTGTGGAACGTTTGCTCCCCCAATGTTTGTCTGGTGGGATGGAGCGCAGCACTTGTTTAGCTGGGAGGCTGGTGAGTGGCATCTCGCACCACCCAGATGCTATATCCCGACAAACTCTATACCATATCCATCTAGTTCGCGCCTTGAGACGTACAAGTAAGGGACTTAGCCCAGCTATAGAACAACAGCTGCATGGCTAACTCGAATAAGCCACATCTCGTTGAGCTTCGCTAACTGCTACTACCACTACTCTACTACTACTAGTAGCTTGGGACCCTCCCCTTGCTCTATGCAGGTCTCTCCTCTCTGCCCTTCGCCACACCAAGGCTATTGGTTCCTAATATATTGGAACGTGGCTTTCAAAGCCTCCTCCCTCGCGTGACGATGCTCCGCTGCTAAATGAAGACGAAACCGGCCCCCCAACCAGTGTATAGCCAGTAGAATGATGTGAGCGAGTATATCGCCTGGCGCGGCGCCCTTCTAGTTTATACACAAGACCATCATCCGCTTTCAAGTAGTTTCTTTTCTCTTTCTTTTATATCCGAAGCGCCGCTCTTATATGCGAGATGGTTGAATCCATCGCCATTTTTGACACGATGCGCCAGATTTGTGATGATCAAACCAGGGACGATGAAGAGAGAAATGGGAAGGGGAACACTAATGCAGAGCTAAACGACGCATTCTTTAACCCTGGCGTCTATCACAGCCTCACTCAGCTATCCATGCAAACAACTATGTAGCCGAAGTTAATATCAATATGATCACCCATCCACTACTGTTTAACCTGTAATCTGTTGCGTGAGATGAGATTTGAAGCGAGATGCAGGGGGCTAATGAAACAAACTCAAAAATGAAAAGGTTCCAAGGTGGTGAAGAAAAGGGAAACTTACACTTTTCTCTTTTCGACAATGGGAAAAAAGAAAAAAAAAAGAAAAGACTTTGAAGGTTTTGTTTAATTTATCAGATTTAATCAATAAGTCGTCCTTGTCGCCTAATGCTAACAAACAAAAGTTTCCCTTCTTTCAGTCATGCAGAGAAGGGGGAGAAAAATGATACAGTTATCTAGTGAATAACGGAAAGAGTAAAAAGACGAAAATGAAGCAAAAACCGCTCACATCCCTTGGCCATGAAAAATGGTCTTGTAAATGAAAAAAAGTCATGCATCCCTATAATAAAAACCACATCGAGGTAGTTTTCTCTTCTTCTCTCTTCCCTTTTGCTGTCCCAATTCCCCCGCAAGATTTGTAAATAGATCTTTCCATAATTTGGGCAAAAGAAACAATCATCTCCCCTACTATTTCCTTAGGTTCAAATTCTGGCATCATGTCGTCCAAAACTTGCATCATTTCATATCGTCCGGCTCTCGTAAAACAAAACCGTACGCGTACTAAAAAGCCACTCCTTTGTCTCTCTCCCCTCTCTTGCGTTCAGTTCCATTCCATTCCATGTCATATCGTGTCGTATAATGACATGTTGACAAAGGACATACTCATGTTGGTTTCCAAAGTACACGCTAGCCTTTGGACACTTGGACTTTAGCATCAACCAGAAAAAGAAAAACGTATATGCCAACGAAAGCGAGAAGCAAAAGAGGCCAAAAGGGATGAGACCAGGAAAAGAGAGAGAAGAAATAAAGAATCAACTAGGTGTGAATGCCGGAAGAGACGAAGCGTATTTTTTGGTCTCGAGTTCCTTAATCACCCAAGCTTTTTGTCCCGGCCCCAACGCCAAAGCAATTCTCGTAGACGCTGAGGAAATACGTCTATAAGCTGCCTGTCTATCCGAATCCGCAGCTGATGTCAAAACGTGGAAAGGAAGAAATAAACGTGTAAGAAAAAAAGGATAAAAATAACATCCTAGAGTTCTTTAATGATTGGCTCCTGGGTGCCATTCTCAAATTTCACCTCAATGGTGCTGTTCTCGCGGCTCTTTGTCAATTTGCGAGGCTGACTCTTTTGCCCCTTTGCAGTGGATCCTCTTCTTGGCCCAGAGTCGGAGTCTTGATCACTAGATGTCCTGCTTGTCGATCCGCTCTTGGTATCTGCTTGACTCGCAACGGAATCGTCACCAAAAGGAGTTTCGAGCTCTTCAACATCAAAGATGGGACTGCCAGGGTGCTGGAACTCTTCCGACTGAGCGCCGTCAAGTAGCGAGTCGCGCAGCGAACCTGATCCGGACCTGAGAGGAACCGGCTTCCGAACGACCGAATCAGAGCTTGTGCTGGATGTATCGCTAGGAAGGGGCTTCCTTGGAGGCGGGGGTAGCTTTGGAACATTCGGTACCACGTCGTTATATCCATTCATAGCAGAACCTGGATACGTGATCGCGTTTGACGGAGACGGAGTGGACAAGGGAGGAACAGAATTTGAATTGCTCATGTACGCGTCCAGCTTCCGTTTAAGCACCTCTGCCCGAACCGGCTTTGCAAGGTAGTCATTCATACCAGCAGCCAGACACTTCTCTCTGTCGCCTTGAATTGCCGATGCTGTCATAGCTATCACCAGGATTTTCCGAACTTCGTCGATTGGGTCGCTTCGAATGAGCTTGGTAGCTTCATATCCATCGAGAATCGGCATTTGGACATCCATAAGGACGATGTGATACGGGATACCTTCTCTAGCCTTTTGTCGAAGGCCTTCAACAGCCTTGAGTCCATTTTCATATGCACTAACACTGGTATAACCCAGGCGCTGTACATATTGGATGGCAATCCTTTGATTAATAGGATTATCTTCCGCCACACAGATACGAATGTCCTCTTTGGGAATCCGCGTAAGATCGAGATACGGGTTCGGAGAGGAAGCTCGGTCCACGAATGAAGAAGTTCTTGTCGAATATCTGTCAATAGGCGGGAGCGCTTGGGATTGGGCATCTCCGGCAGCAACATCTGGCTTGGCTCTTTCAAAGGAGACTGTGAACCAGGCAGTAGTGCCGAGATTCGGTTCACTCTCGAGCTGAATCGTTCCTTGCATCATGATTTCGATGAGTGACTTGCAGATACTCAGTCCAAGTCCACTTCCACCATATTTTCTAGCCGTGCTGGCGTCGGCCTGGCTAAATGGCTGGAATAGCTTCGCCAACTGTTCTTTTGGAATTCCGATTCCTGTATCTCGGACCCAGAATGTCAAAGTTGCCCTCTCCTTAGTCTCCTCGTCCAGCCGGGCGCCAATGGTGATAGATCCGTCCTCAGTGAACTTTAAGCTATTACCAATGAGGTTTCCGAGAACTTGGTGGAGGCGGATTGGGTCGCCGTAGATTAGCATGGATGGCAGATTAATGTCATGAACAATCTTGACGTTCTTTTTGGATGTCTTCTCTCGGTTGCTATAAGAGACTGCTCGAACGACTTCCCTGACCATTTCTTCGGGGTTGAAAGCAATAATATAAAGCTTCATCTTGTCAGCTTCCATCTTGGAAAAGTCAAGTATATCGTTGATAACAGTAAGCAGAAGATCGGCCGAGACCCGGATGGAATCTGCCATTTCAAGCTGGTCTCTGTTCAAGTTGCTGTCCCGTAAAAGTTCCGAATTGCCAATGACTCCGTTTAGAGGCGTCCGCAGCTCGTGTGAGACGTTGGCCAAGAAAATAGACTTGGCTTTGGCTGCTTCTTCGGCCAATTTGACATTGCGCTTCGCCTCTGCCTCTGCGTTCTTTGCCTTTGCCTCTGCCTCGATGGCTTTCTTGAGTGCTCGTTTTTGTACCTCCACCATGGAATGGTTCTCTGCCGAGATCTTCTCAATGTTCTTTATTGACAGGGCATTGGAGTAACTAATGCTGATTTGGTTGACCAAGAGCTGGAGAACGGTTACGTTGCGATCTGTGAATGATCCGGGGACGCCTTCGAGATACAAAACGCCAAGCAGTGGCTTGTTCGCATGGCGTATTGGGATGGCAATGATCGATTTGCTCGTTGGATTCCTTTGTAGCCAAGACTCATTCACGTTGCTAAATCTTTCGTCAGAGACGATATCCGATATGAAGACAGTTTCCATGAAACGTGTACAGTAAAGCACAACATTCTCAGCAATCAGAGGGGTGTCTGTGAGGGGTAGGGCTGGTTTGTGTGCTGAAGCTCCCTTCTCCGGATCACCACTTGCAGCTACACACCAGCCGTCCGATTCCGCATAGACCACAATAGCGGCATTTGTAGCTGAACCACCACATGTCTGCAAAATGACATCGCACATGGTCTTAAGCAGTTCTTCTACCTGTAGCAGTGACGAAATGACCTGCGAAGACTTGAGGATTGCGTGCAAATCGATCATATCGAGAGCAGGGAGCCCACCACCGTCTTCTGTCTGCATGTGCATCGAATTTCTCCAGGCTCCAATCTGCTCTCCCTTTGCCTCTGTCAAGGTGTTGGAAGGAATCTGGGTCAGGACGTCATCTTCTTCACCATCCACAGGGCGATATTGGACTGAAGGTGCGTCGGTGACAAAATCGGTCTGGACACCCATATCCGCAACGCGATGGTTTCGAGTCGGCCCATGCAAGAGAAGGGAGTGCTCTTCCTCAATGGCATGAGCAACACCCGTAGCTGCCACTTGCCTATATAAGCTCAGGGCATCTAGAAGAGCGGCACGGGCAGACCGCCGCGCCCTGCGTCGGATGAAGAAGCCCGCCATGAGGTAGTTGCCGAGAGCTTCTTCCAGAATGAAATCGTGCTCGGCGGCATGGTCCAAAGCCTCTTCGTAGTGTTGAATACAATCACCGTGTTGGCCGGACAGCTCTGCCATTTGTGCTTCCAAAAGTTTTGCCCATGTCAGGTAATTTACATTGGATACCGTTGTCCAATCCGTGATCAGTTTCAAATACCCCTTGAGCCGCTCTGCCAGCTTTTGAGTCTCTTCGGAGAATTCTCCTGGCTGGCTTCGCGGATCTTGAATCTTCCGAAGCAGGTGGCCCGCGAGTGCCAGCCCGTAGAAGAGGACAATCAATCTGGTATTTCGTGATGACCAAATGTCATCGAGATGATCAATACATTTATCTCCAACCTCAATGGCCCGGTCATAATGGCCATATAAGAATAAGACGACGATTTCTAAACTTTCGTAAAACAACATAGGGCGAGTGCTACCTTTGGTCCGTTCCGCCAGTAACCGCTTGTACGATGCACTATTGTGCTCACCGTCGGTCATGACCTCCAAAGGGTTGTGAGCGCGAGTTTTGCCCTGTAGCGCCCGGCAGGCTTGTCTGACAGCAAGGAGCATTACTCCACCTCTGGTGTCACAGGCCCATTTGGTAATCTCTTCGCAGGCTAGCTCACAGAACGTTTCAAGCTCGGAGCAATTCTCGCTCGCAAAGAATTTAATCTGAGCGGCTATGCCATAGCTGTGGATTGTCGACATTCTGTCACCTGCAACAGACGCCAGCTCGATTGCGTCGTCCATCTGGGAGATAGACTGCGGCAGGGAGCAGTGTGCATGCCCAATAAAGCACTGATGTAGCATCTCACCCCGTGCCAGCGAGTAGGCGTCACGGGCCTGAAATAACAGATCCTGGGATATCATGGCCAGTTCTATGGCCAACGGGATCATGTTGAAACGCGACATTGCCACAACAGACAGGTTGAGAAATGCCATACCAGACTGCGGGAAAGAGCCTCGAGAAAGATGGGTATCAAATAAAATCAGGCTAAGATGGTAAAACTGCAGATGATCGGTCCACCAGGCCGCATTGGTAGTCTCGGCAAACACCGCACTGATGGATGCCATGGAGGGGTCACTCGATTTCTTGTGACTGAGAATTGTCTGGCGGTCCGTACTTTGTATCTGGGCCGCAATTTTGTGGAATCTTTCGTCACATTTCTCATACGACGCTTCTTCATCGAGGGAAATGCCGAGTAAAGCCAGAGATTCTTTGAGAGAAGCAAGTGCCGCCGGGGAGTTGCCACTCTGCGCAAATATCCGTGACTGTAAGACATACGCCGGCGCTTTGTCTACCGGATTATTGGCATTGCTCAGGATGATAGACAGAAGATCACCGGCCGAGGTCACTTGGTTCATGTATAGATGGCATTCAGCCGCTCGGAGGTAAAGCTGAATGGTTTCGTCATAAGAGGCATCCTCGACATCGTCAGACCACGGGTTGTCCTGCAAGAGTAAGACCGCCGCATTATAATACTTGACCGCCGTAGGTCGAGCGCCGTTCTCTGTCGCAGCCTGCGCACACTCCATGAGCAGTTTACGAAACTCCCGACGGCAACGTACCCGACGCTTGATTATTTCGACGGCGGTGCAAATATGTGAAGCAGTGCTATCGCGCTGCCTAGCTTCAACCGCGTAGTATTTCAAAAGCGTCTGCGATATGATGAAGTGCATCTTTCGAGCATTACACTCCTTCAAAGCTGAAGACGCTTGAACATAGCGGTCGTGTGCGAAACGAAAGCGGTCATCGGACTCGGTTGGTACAATGATGTAAGACTGAATAGCCGCTTGTAATCCTGCGACAGCTTCCCCTTCGGTGTAGGCGCGCTGGGTGACATTGTCCGGACAAACCATCCCATCGTCTTCATGGTAGTCAAACTCTCCGCTCATAAGTCGGCATAAGAGCTCGAATGAGAATGAGCCTCCCAGGAGAGCCGCCCAAGCAAGTACTGCTCGCGCAGCAGACGGTAACTCGGCTAGTCGATGAGTGATAAAGGCGGTATCTAAAACATCATAATCCTTCTCGCCTTGAAACTGTGCGAATAGTCTATCCATGTCATAGTGCCATTGGCTATCACGGTAGTCATACCAAATACACTTCTTTCTATGGCAGGCGCTAAGCATTTCTCGCATGTAGAACGGGTTGCCGGCTGTCTTGGACTGAATAACTAGAGCAAGTGAGAGAATTTCTTCCCGTGGCCTAGAGAGAGTTGTCGACACATATTGAAGGATATCATCTTCGCTGAGTGGATTGAGCGTAATTCTCGTAACCTGCGGGCGCGCACTGCGAGGGTTATCTAGCAGGCCATCAGCATCTCGTGGGACCGTAAGCAGAGAGGTATAATCACCATCCGATTCCGGGGGCTGCAGCATAGCCCGGAGTTTTGTTATTGAAAGCTCTTCCGGTCTGTACGTTACGATGACAACCATCTTCATCCTGGCGGCTATGATCTGGGAGATGAGCTCAAGAGATTCGTCATCGGCAAAGTGCAAGTCTTCCAGGCAGAAACAAATAAACTTGTGAGCGGTGAAGACCCTGAGTACATCCAGGATGGTGTTGATCAAACGCATGGTTTTGGTTGATGCTCCAGCGCAGAGGTAGTCTTGAGAAGATTGCATTCCATATCCTGCCGCGATTCGCGGTAATGACCCGGGAGATTCTCCAGGAGACGATGTCCTGCGCTTCAGCTGTGGCCGCGAGTCCTTGCGTGAGCCTGAGCTCTGAGATGACGAGATGGGCCGCATGATATTCGCGTCCGGCGGACCAAGGAGAAATTCTGGCAATCCTAGGACCCGGTGCAGCATTGGCCATACTGGACGAATGTATTGCTTTAGGCCCACGTGAAAGGGTGTATTTGTATCCCTTTCACCCCAAACTTGTTTGAATAGTGAAGATAGAAGCTTAAGTAGCGGTCCAAACGGCGTTCTCTTGGCGGTGTCGAATTTGGCCGTCGCGCAGTAGCCATTACGCCGAGCATCAGCCAGGACTGACTGCACGAATAGACTCTTTCCCACACCGCCAACACCTTCCACCATGATGACTTCGCAGTGCCCATGACGTCGAAATTTAGCCGAGCCAAGCTGTCTAGACAGGCTGGACGCACCGATGTCCATCGGGCCACGAGGCCCTTCCACATTTAGGCTCTCGACCATGCTTGAGGAGTCCAGGGAACCCAGAGAAATGGACTGGTGGCGCTCCCATCGCTCCCATGGCCTCGTAAATCTAGGATACATGGCGGCTGTAGACTGGGATGACGAAGTGGTGTCGGTTGACAAGGTCATGGTCTCGGATATGATTGTAGGGAATAAGCTGTTTTTTGTTTGTCGAGTTTCAGATGATATAGTCTGAGCAAACGATCCGCTCCTGCGGTTATGGCCATCAAGAGAGCTGGCACCGCCTTCGCTAGAAATGTCATCAAAGGTCATGATCTCGGTAAGGCTGGCTCCGTCTGAGAACCTGCTGGTAGGGCCCTTGCGTTGAGCGGCATGGCTTTTAGCAACACGGTTAATAACTTTGAGAACGGCGGCTTTCTCCTCCTGCCGGCCAATCATGGAGGTCGGGAGCATGAAGAACGACGACACATCACTTGTTCCGAGTTTGAACTCCTTGAGGGCCTTTGTGTTCCCATCTTCGAGATACTCTTGGACGCAGACTAAATCGTGACGTAGTCCGCTAGCTGAGTGGTAGCGGTCAGCAACGTTTTTAGCCGTGCATTTCTGGATGATCCGCCCGATAACATCTGGTATATCCATCCGTACGGTTGCCACATTGGGGATTCTGCGGCCGAGCACGCTTTGTACAATATCGAGAGCTGAATCTCCCGTGTAGACGGGTTGTTGAGTAAGGAGGCTCCAAAAGACAACGCCGAGCGAGTAAATGTCGGTACGGCTATCAGGCTCGGCGGGCATTCGACCGGTTTGTTCGGGGCTGATATACAGCAGCTTATTCCTGCCTCCCAGTTCTTTGGAGAGTAAAGACCAGCCGGTGCTAGTCAAGCCATGCTCGAAGGACCTGGTGCCAGAACCAAAGGACATGACTCGGACCTTGTTTTCTTCGGCGTTGAAATGGAAAGCATCGCCTCGGATCTCGCCGTGAACCATGCCGCGACTATGGTGGAGGATCTCCAAGCACTGGGCCGCGCCAATGGCGAAATCGAGAAACAGTCGAAGGCTGATGGGGGCTTGAAGCGTTGGTCGGTAGTGGATAGCTCGATATGTATCGCCATCTTTGCGCGCCTCGTAAAAGGCAGGGCCCATGTCTAAGACGTCGAACAGGTGGTTGTGGCCTGGATGTTGGTATATGGCGACGACGATGGCGCCACGGTCGCCGGTCGTCGGGCTCAGCCGAATCAAATCGAGAGGTTTTACGATGTGGTCGCCATTGGGGTCGGCCGTCGTCGAGACGCTTTTGGCGATCTGGAAGGCCCTCTCCTCGCGGAGGGCATGATGGGATACGCGCGCCACGACGGGCTCTTCGATGTACGCTACGTCGGTGGAGGATGGCGAGGCGATGGGATTGGAGTGGGCAGCAGGCAGCGGGGAGGCGGGGGGTTCGCTGCTGTAGCCGAAGCTGTAGCTGGAGAGAGGGCCGCCATGGTCGGAGGGAGTTGGACGACCCGACTGGAGTTTGGATACAGAGCCGGGGTTAGAGGCGTTCTGCGACGAGGTAGAGGGCGGCAGAGTGGGATAGACGTATCGGGTGCCGAAAACATGCCTAGGCAGTGAAGCGAGAGAATTAGAAGTTAGCTCTCTCGATCTGGCTCCTCCACAAGAGCAGCCATCACGGCCATTCTTCTTTTCAGATATAAGATTCCCTTCCTTTCCGATCTCAGGTCGTTCTTATTGCTTTTCTCCTCTTCAAACCATCCACCGCGGGAGAGGGCGACTCACCAGTAGTCATACGACGAGTGGAAGGGCGGCGTCGCTTCGTCCCAAGTATATCCAGCTATCTGTCGGAGGCGTTCAAACAGTCGCGGCGGCGGGGGAGGCGGCGGGTCGAGCACATCGTCGGGCACGAGGGCTGGACCGTCCATGATGGCGCGCGGTCATAGGAGGGAGGCAGAAAAAAGAAAAGAGGAAGCCCCCCCAGCTGGCTGCTCGGCAGAGGGTTGAGGCGGCGGCTTGCACTCAGTTTCCAACGGTCATCCAAGCCCGCACGCAGCGCCCATCGTCGGCCCGGTGGTGGTATCGGTAGGTAGGAGTTACAGTAGGGGTCCTGGCGGCGAGGAGCGCAGCAGCCGATGGATGAGCAGGGCAGCTTGGCTAGCTCTAGGGGTTTGTGACTGATTTTTTTTTTTTTCTTCCCTAGGTTTCCTGGCTGCGTTTCTGCGTTGCCGTGCGGGCACTGCAGAAGTCGGGGTCCTGATGGAGGTTTTGTTAGAACTGGGGCTGCCAATCTGAGTTGCAGCGGACTGGTGGTGCGCTTCTAGCAGTCAGCACAGGCTACTGTCGCCCGGCTTGTGGCTAAACCAGGTGCCTGTCGGAGTACTTGGTGGGCAAGCTTCAGTGACTTCTGCCACCAAATCGCGGATACAGAGCTACCTCCCTCCCACCGGCAATTGCTAGCAGCTTGGTGCTGCGGTGCAAACCTGGCGAGGTACACGCTAAACTGCGCCAGGTACATCGCCCTTCATTCCGCGCTCAGGCTTAGTACTTGCTCGGGGCCTTTTGCGCAGTGCTAGCAGCGAAGGCTGCGCGGCGATATGTACTAAAACGTCAACTTTACAAATCGCCCGAGCTCGTGAAAAGAGGGCGAGCAGCACTCATATCAGCTACAAGCTATGATTTCTTTTCCTTTACGGCGTGATTCTATCTCTCATCCATTCTCTTCTCTTGGTTTTGTAGGAAGCAATGATAATAGCTAAAACATGGCCGTCTCGCTATAATGGGGGCCGAAGCCATGCTTGATAACGCGGCTTGCCGGCCACGGGACGCCATGTTCCACCGCATCAGCATTGATTCCCATCCACCAAATACCAAAGCGGCGGCAGCACGGGAAACGCTGTGCCCCGTTGCGGACTGGCGAACAAGCCCAAAAGACGATGGCGCTAACAGACCGCTTCAAGGGTCTTCCAGGTGTCGTCAGTCCAGCAATTTGATCAATGCTTGGGCCAGCAGCTGAGCAGGGGCAATCTGCCGCCTCTCTGCCTCTGCATCACTGCATTTGCCATGAGAGCAAACCCCGCTGATTGCTGATCCGCTGGCAGAGTGCTAGTGGTGGATGAATTTTACGCCTTTTGGGCTTTCCGTCGTGCTGTACCTTACGTATTGTGATTGTTCAAGGCATGGGTTATTGGGTATGACGCCTCTCTCGCCTGACAGGAAAATAAGGGCTTGGATCCATTATTGAGAGATCTAGCTGCAAGGTGGTGTGGTGCGCGAGCCCACACCACATCATTCTCTTCATCACGCCTGAGGGAAATATGGGAAATGCCAAATACCTTGCCCTGGGTGCTGATCTTCACTTTCCAGGCGCCAGCGTGTCAAAGGGATATGCCCATGTACCCACCCAAACCGAGATACTGATGAACCCAACCAGGTTTTTTTTTTCTCTTTTCATCAGTCACCAACGTCAGAAGCTATCTATCCAGGTACCTATGAAGCATGCCTTGTATAAGTGAAATACCAAGAGATGTTGGAGGCAGCGTGGACTGGGTTTAAGCTCCGCAATGATGTCTTTCCCGGGGACCATAATCCCGCGTAAATATTTTCTCTTTGGTAGACTGACTAAATTTTTTTCTCCTAACTCAACCCAAAGGACATTGGGCCATGTCTGAAAACGGCAATGATGCTACATACCCATACCCTAGAACTGGCCCAAAACGCTTTCGTCAGCTGCTCTTACTCGGACATAAAACCTAATTGCCAGGCTCCTCTTTGGATCGCATTAAACAAAAAA